TATATAGTTTTAAAAGAATTCATTTCAATAGAATTTCTATGAATACTGTTGCTAACTATAGCATTTTGTTTTAATTGTGTTTTTAATAGAACTGAACGATATGCTGGATATGGGGTAGCTTCAACGTAGCTTTGACCATCTTGAATTTTATGTATGATTACATGAGACTTACTCATAATAAGATTAGCCTGATCTTGATATATTTTATTGCTTTTTGATTTCTGATCTTTTATCAGTCCAGTGCTTTCTATTTTAACTGAATTAGTTTTATCAATATCTCTTTTAACACTTTCACTTAATGCTTCATTTATGCTTATTGAGCTATTCAATTTCAATGATGTACTATCAATATTACTTACTTGCAAATGCAATTTATTTGATGTATTTAATGATGTATTCATTTGTAAAGAAGTACAAATTGTATTTACACTTTCCCTTGCTTCTTCCAAAATTGTTGAGCATATATTTTCATCCTTCTCATTTTCAATATTCTCATTCTTACTTTTCCTTATAGAATCTTTTTGTTTGGATTTATTTATGTTTCTATCATCTCTGCTTGATCCATTGATAGATGTGTTTACATTCAATGATGTCTTTGTTGTTTTTGCACTATGCTCTTCGAGTATTTGAGTATTTTTAAAATTATTACACAATGATTCAAAAACATGAGCACAATTATTTTCTAATACATTCTCCCCTAAAATTTTGTTATCCGATACATTATTTATATTATATTGAACAGAATCTTGATTATCTATTAATAAACATTTTCGTTGAATGTGTGTGATTTCCATGGGAATTATATCTTTCTTTGTATTTGGATGAAATGATGGATGATGTGTAATGTCATGTTGTATTTCATGATTGTTGTCTAATGTTTCATTATTTATCATTGTGGAACAACCAATAGGTACTGTCACAAATATACTATCATTTTCTGATATATTTAAACTTGAAGGGCATCTATCATTAGATGCAGTAGAACAATTGGTTTTATTACCTTTTGGTTCGTCGGCTAAAATCAATGCAGAGGATATGTTTAAAGAGATATTTGAATTACCAAAGTTTTTGTTCTTTCTAATTGACTTACTGCTATTGCTATACATTTTCTTGTCCACTTGGATTTGACGTGATATTGAAGAATTACATTTTGTAAGAAGATCATTTTTGTTTCTATCTTCTTTTAAATCAAACAACCGTCTTTTGTTTAATTTAAAATGCTGTCTTTGTTCTGCAGAACTATGACTTTTGTGTCTATCTTTGGGTGTACCATCAATACATAAGCAATTTAAATTGTTACTGCAGTCATTATTTTGAAATGTATCCGATTGATCATGTTTATCACTTAAAATTTCTTGTGTTTTAACGGAGAGTTTGTTTTGTGGGTCAAATATTTGTTTAGTTCTGAGTAAAATAACTTGCTTTAATTTTTTACAGTTTTTATCCAAAATTTCAGCATCGTTCTCTATTTTCTCTAAAACTATACTCGCATGTTTCAAAGGGATACTATGACCTGCGGTGCAACGTGTGTTGACGGACGTCTGTCCATTTCTAACACTATCATTGTATTTACTGTGTTCTGAGATTGCATTAGAAACGATTACAGTTGAAGGTACATTAACATTATATTTCACATTTACTTGCTCGGGCAAACTATTTTCAAAATTTGTTAAATTCGACGAACAACTTAAATTAACAGCCAACGAACTATGTTGATGTTCGAGGCTATCACTTTCATCCAATACGTATTTCTCAATTATTTTATTTTTATTTTTATTTGAACTCATTACTGACGGTTTTCTGAACAATAGTTGAGGGTAAAGTTTTCTTTTTAAGCGTGGGTTCAACAACTAATTTTTAAGAATACATTTTCAAAATACTCACACGTTACAGACTTCATTATAATACAGCATGGATTATTTGGTCACGTGATCAAAACTATATCAAGCTCAAAAATATAATGTTTATTACAATTATAAATATACATTGCCACACAATAGTACTGTCGTTATTTTAAATGAATGAAACTACATACTCATTTTAAATGAAAACAAAGATTTACATTTCTTAAATCATTGCATATGTAGTATCTAGATCATGTATTCCTATGCATGTGTTTCTCATGCATTTATCTCCTTACTGTAAAAAATATCGAAATCATATATTGAAATAATAAACACCTTCTAGAGAGCAGCACTTTATGATGTATTGACATATAATTTTAAACTATACAAATCTACGAAAATAATCTTCAATTTTGTGATTTTTATTTAGTATACAATAATAAATATTTATTAATCTGTATTTCGATTATATATGTACTTAGCAAATACATGAAAATGGTAGAAATAATTAAAACTTTAAAAATTTACATACATAAAAAAAATGAATATTAAATTGAAAGGTATTGCTTCATAATTCTTTTCTAACATTTTATTTCAACGGAATCACACGAAACTATGCGTATGAGACGTGCAAAAAGTAAAATGTATTATGTTCTGTTCAAAGGATAACCTCTTTAAATTAGAAAAAGATTCAGAGGATCACTACAGTAGACTGATATTTGTATTTTAAAAATATGTACGTTAATTTATGCACACTTGCATAAATAAATAATGAAGTAATCATTAAAATATGCATATATTTAATGTATGAATGCATACGTATAAACCTACTACACAATATGATAGTGATATAACTCATAAATAGAGAAGCTATCCAAATCGAACATGAAAAAGGCAGAAAAGAAAAGAAAATCGACACTGCTGAGTTTGGTTTAGGACATATTTCTCTTCTTCAAGAGCTGTTTAATCGCAGTCTAAACCAAGGTGAAAACAGGCATTATTGATTTCGCCAAACGAAAAGATTTTGCTGAGAAAAAAGTCTATTATTAAGACGGTTGTGCCATAGATCCCTTGTTAATATCTTAGTTCATATCTTTTCTACTCTCATTTTCTACTCCATAAAATCCAAAGTCTTCTATTTCCTATACTTCTATACTTTCTTCCTTCCAGAATCCAGAATTAGGGTTAAAATAACAACTTCAGGAAGAAATAGCCTAAAAGTTAGGTGATCTTGTTAGTTGATTATCTATTATTGCATCACTTAAATGCATTTCAGGGTTATCATCTATTCCATCAGTAGTTCCCTGTCTGTTTATTCTCCGATTTACGGTAACCTTCGGGATTTTTCTCTTAACTTTAGTACCACCTTGATGTAAACTAAGTTTTGTTCTTGCTTGGATAAGTTACTCGACTCAAGGCTTGCATTGGTTGTTTTGTCTTCTTCATTAATATTCTGTTCATCTAAGTAGGACCCTTTCTAACTTTTTTATATAATATGTTAGATATCTTATTCTGTGAATTATTTTTGATAAGACTGTTTAAATAATTTGTTTTGTTTCCTGCCCTATCAAAACAAAGATCGTGCAATTTTTCAAAGGTGGGACAAATATTAATTCCTATTCCACGTAATATCTTGGATAAATTTTTCGGTGTAAAAAGTTTCTTCTCAGTTAAGAAGTGATTTAAATAATTTTCTTTATTAAAACATGACTTATGAAAATTCCTTAAAATAGAAGTGGCATTATTCCCTGACATAGATAATATATTAGATAAATCACACGGCTTAAAACCTGCCTTAGAGAAATCATCTAAAAGCTGTGTTTTGTTTCCTGCTTCATCAAAACAAGCATCACAAAAATCTTTGAAAGCAGAACAGACATTAGCTCTTGCCCCATGCAATATATTACATAAATTACTCAACGTAAAATTTTCCCTCTCATTTAAGAAATGATTTAAATACTTTTTTGTTTCTCCTATAAAGCAAAAATTATAAAATTCTTCTAAACTATCTGCTGCACCACTCAATATATTGCATAAATCACCTGGTCTGAAACCTGCATTATAGAAACCATCTAAAAGTTCTGTTCTTTCACCTTCATCATCAAAACAAATAGTATGAAATCTCTTCAAAATAAAAGAAGCACGAGCTCCTGCTCCACATAACATACAAGATAAGTTACCTGGCTCAAAATCGGCATTATAGAAGTCATTTAAAAGTTTTGTTTCTTTCCCTTTGTCATTAAAAAAAACACAATGCAATTTTTCAAAAGCATCTTTAGCATTAGCTCCTGATCTACTTAATATACCAGATAAGTTATGTATTGTAAAACCTTTTTTCTTAATAAAATGCTTTAACTGCTGTTTTTTATTTCCCTGTTCATCGCAAAAGGTATTATATAGCTCCTTAAAAGCTTTTGTAGCATTAGCACCTGCTCCACCTAAAATACTGGACATATTAGTTAGATTTATTTTTTCTCTTTCTAGAGTTTTTAAATATTGCGTTTTAATTCCTTCTTCATCAAACCAAAGGTGATATAAGTCTTTGAAAGCTTTTGCAGCACTAGATCCTGCTCCATTCAAAATACTGGATACAGTAGATAGATTTATTCCTTCCTCTTCTAGAGTTTTTAAATATTGTGTTTTATTTCCTTCTTCATCGAACCAAAGATCATATAAATCTTTAAAAGCTTTTGTAGCATTAGCTCCTGCTCCATGCAAAATACTGGATACAGTAGATAGATTTATTCCTTCTTTTTCTAGAGTTTTTAAATGGTGTGTTTTATTCCCTTTTGCATCAAACCAAAGATCATATAAGCCTTTGAAAGCCTTTGCAGCACTAGATCCTGCTCCATGCAAAATACCGGACACATTCGTTAAATTTATTCCTTCTTCTTCTAGAGCTTTTAAATGGTGTGTTTTATTCCCTTTTGCATCAAACCAAAGATCATATAAGTCTTTAAAAGCGTTTGCAGCATTAGCTCCTGCTCCATGCAAAATACCAGACATATTGGTTAAATTTATTCCTTCTTTTTCTAGAGTTTTTAAATATTCTGTTTTATTTCCTTTCTTATCAAACCAAAGGTCATATAAGCCTTTGAAAGCTTTCGCAGCACCAGACCCTGCTTTACTTAAAATACTGGACATATTAGTTAAATTTATCCCTTCTTCTTCTAGGATTTTTAAATATGGTGTTTTATTTCCTTGCTTATCAAACCAAAGGTCATATAAGTCTTTAAAAGCTTTTGTAGCACTAGATCCTGCTCCATGCAAAATACTGGATACAGTAGACAGATTTACTCGTTCTTCTTCTAGAATTTCTAAATATTGTGTTTTATTTCCTTTTTTATCAAACCAAAGATCATATAAGTCTGTAAAAGCTTTTGCAGCATTAGCTCCTACTCCACTTAAAATACTGGACATATTGGTTAAATTTATTCCTTCTTTTTCTAGAGTTTTTAAATATTCTGTTTTATTTCCTTGCTTATCAAACCAAAGGTCATATAAGCCTTTGAAAGCTTTTGCAGCACTAGATCCTGCTTTACTTAAAATACTAGACATATTAGAGAGGTTTATTCCTTCTTTTTCTAGAGTTTTTAAGTATTCTGTTTTATTTCCTTCTTCATCGAACCAAAGATCATATAAGTCTTTGAAAGCTTTTGCAGCATTAGTTCTTGCACCATTCAAAATACTGGACATATTAGATAGATTTATTCCTTCTTTTTCTAGAGTTTCTAAATAGTGTGTTTTACATCCTTTTGCATCGAACCAAAGATCATATAAGTCTTTGAAAGCTTTTGCAGCATTAGTTCTTGCCCCATTCAAAATACTGGACATATTAGATAGATTTATTCCTTCTTTTTCTAGAGTTTTCAAATACTGTGTTTTACGTCCTTTTGCATCAAACCAAAGATCATATAAATTTTTGAAAGCTTGTGCAGCATTAGCTCCTGCTCTACTTAAAATACTGGATACAGTAGATAGATTTATCCCTCTTTTTTCTAGAGTTTTTAAATATTGTGTTTTATTTCCTTCTTCGTCAATCCAAAGATCATATAAGTCTGTAAAAGCTTTTGCAGCACTAGATCCTGCTCCGCTTAAAATACTGGATACAGTAGATAGTTTTATTCCTTCTTTTTCTAGAATTTTTAAATATTGTGTTTTATTTCCTTTTGCATCAAACCAAAGATTATATAAGTCTTTGAAGGCTTTTGTAGCATTAGTTCTTGCTTTATCCAAAATACTGGACATACTAGCTAGATTTATTCTATTTCTTTTCAGAACTTCTAGATATTCTTTTCCTTCTCCTTTAATTAAATGATCTAAGAAGTCATTAAATGCAGGTGTTCCTTCTTTACCAACTATGCTTTTAGCAAATTTAATTTCTTGATCAATGTTTTTATTTTGAATGTCTTTATAACTAGATCTATTATTTTTTATATCTGCCAAAAGTTTTTCCATTATTCCTTTTGTAATAGGGCCAAATTCATGAGATTCTGACCAACGTAACGCCATCTCATGTAATTCTTCATAATTATATGGAACTTTATTAGACCTATTATTTTTTTCTACCTCATTTTTAATACTACTCTTCAAGTTTTCCTTGTTAAGTTGGTTAAGAGTAATATCATGGCTTTTTCTTTCAAAATTTATGGAAGATATGTTTTTATGTAAAAACATGTCATGTAAGAAGAGCATTAGTAAATTGAACTCATATATAGTTTCAGATATATAATTCGCAAATTTTTTTTGCTTTTCTGTAGCTGTTAAATCACATAACATTTTTTCTTGTAATTTTATATAATCATCTCGAGCTTCACTATTTTTTTTTATTTCATTTTTAATAATGCTGTTCAGTTCTTCTCTATTGGGTTGATTAACTGCAAATACTAATTTATCTAAAAATCTTTCTTTTATTTCTTTCGGAGAAAGTTTTCTTTCTTTTATAACTATTTTCATAGCAGACGAAAATTCTAGTCGCTTTAAAAGTTCTTCTGTTGTTGTTTTATCTTGCAAAAATCGATAAAAATCACTCCCTCTCGTATTATTATTTATGAACAAAAAGTCTTTTAAAATGTCACATTCTTTTATATTTACGTTATCAAATTTAAAAGGATAAAAATGTCTGGATTGCCCTTTTTTAAATTTCTTTTCTTCTGTAAGATCCAAGCCTGAATTAGTATAAATAATAAAGTATTCTATATTATTTATTAAATTATCTGATTTAGAGGTAAGATGTTTAACAAAACTATTAAAGTAATTATTAATAGAAGAACTTCGTTTTTCTTTAGCAAATAATCTAGCATAACTAATATCATTATCTATATAATGTTTGTCTACATTTTCAGTTTGTATATGAATAGACTTCTTCTTGTAATAAAGAACAATATTAAATTTATCAATTTCAAAACCTTCAAATGCTAGTGACAATGAAGGATATTTATGTTCATGCGTAAGCTTTCTAAGTGAGCAAAGCACTGATAAGTCTAATCGATACATAAGTCCAATCAACTGATGAGGAGAATGATTTTTGTATTGACTAATTTGATAAGCATTGTGCAATTCATCAGACGAGTCCTGTCTAGATTTATTTTGTAAATCACTAGGAAATTCTGAACGCAGCCTTTTCGATACTATATTCTCTTCATCTGTAACAGAACGCCTTTGTTTTCTAGAATTTACATCCGTTTCACTATTTCTTTCACCTGAAGTTCTTGAATGAGCACTTTGTTTGTGTGTGGAAGTTTCAGTATTTTTTGATGGTAACATAAAAATCTCTTATTATCACTGGTCATATAGTAACCGGAATAACCAATAAAGCAAGTTATTTTTTTTATGACTAATGATGTTATTTTATTGATGTGTATTTTTATCATTAAATTAATAATACGATCACTTTTGCTTAATTAAAAATAATAACTATTAGAAGATTTTATTTTCAAAATCGGTAGATCTACCTTCCTTTACCACCTTTTTCTTTTTTTATTGAGCATTGCACTACTTTAATCTTGTCAATAATTATCACCTCTCTGCAATTTTTCCTCCTCAACAATCTTGTTGAATGAACTCGTTGTTTCAAATTACTCTTGTTCTATGGCTTCATTAACTGATAAACGTCCTAGTAAAAAATTCTTTCCTATTTCTTCGTTACAATTTTTTAATCACTTCAGCAGACCTTGATTGTTTACTTTTACCCTATTACCCCAACAATATATACATGTATATGATATGAATAATATTATTAGGCAATGGGTATGTAAAGAAGTATTTATATAATAAAAATATAAAAATTTGTAGAGAAACACTAACTACTTTTCTTTTTAACAGCCTATGTACGGAACGCTACGTGATTTTACAAGTTCAAAATATTATTGTGAGATGGAGACACTAGCGGATGGAAGGCGGGTATGTCAGAGGGGGAAGGATTGCTCGTGCTGTTTGATGTAATGTCGTGTTAGTAAGTGATATATGTCGTCTATCCATGTTGTTTAGGACTTACGTTGAGAGTGGTTTATTTGACCTCTAGGAGGTATCTGAGAAACTATGAACCATTGAAAATCCTTTACTACTTAAAGCATAGATTCATATTCAAAATTCATAGATTATAATTGTTATGCCTGTATTTATTATACTACAGAATATATACAAAATACTTTTGTATAGTTGCTGTTACTATATACTAAACTATACTATTATCAATCAAGATGTTTTGGACAAATTTTGTTAAAATAATGTTTATTGTTTTCATGTGTTGCAAATATTTCAATGTTTTATTTTATTTACTGCTGTGTTTCATTGACTTCAGCGATTACATGTTACCAAAGTTCAGCAGTTACAACTTTCCTTTGTGGTATCATTATCTAGTAATTAAAAGTGATTAATGTATTTTTATGTAAATAAAAGTCTATAAACATTTAATTTAGATGAGAGGATTCGTATCGTTTAAGATGCTCTTTAAAAATAATTAATATTAATTTTTTTTATACTTGGCTCTTTTAATTTTGTTGCTTGTCGTACATAAAATGCATATAAAACCCTTTATATTATATAATTTGTTTATTAAGTTTTACATTTAATTTTTCTTTATAATAGTTCATTCCAAATCAAAAGATAAGTGTAAATTTGATCATACAATACATAATATATAATTTCTTTTTCTATTTATATGGTTTCTAATTTCTGTATTTTCTGATTACATGTTAAGTAAATTCATGCTATTGAAGTAAATACATGCGATGAATGAAAATGACATCTACAAAAGTCGAAGGAACTTTCACAAATTCTTTGCAGCAACAATATCCAGTTGCATCTAAACTGCAAACAGAAAATTCCAAAGTTTTGGACACTAGAATCAAAGAGAATTCTAGTGAAACCTCGAGCAGAGATGAAAGTAAAGTCATAAACACAATAGATGTCACTAAAGATGAGAGTGAACTTGCAAAATGTAATACAAGAGAAATGGAGAACGAAGAGGAGGTGATTATCTTAGAAGGGCATAAAGAAGAAATGAAGTGTAACATAGATAAAGTAGAGAGTAGTCAAAGTACAGAAAAGTCAAATGTACTTATCCCTGTACCGAAAAACAATCCTAGAATTAGTAAGAGCACAAGTATGAAAGAAGCATCCATGTTCAGAAGTACAAATAATTTAAAAAGAAAACAACGGAATTTGGTGTGAGTGCAAATAATTTCTGGTTCTTTTTAACAAGATTTACTTGTACCAGTTTAAATATTATTTTTATTTTATAGCTGTTAATACTGTTTCTTTTAGAAAAGCTAATGTTGTTTTAGTGAATTTTTTATCAAGATTGAAACTACACAGAGTTAAAGAACTTAATTGGCTTTGTAGTGTTCAAGATGCAGACTTTCTCGCCGAGGATAATAATTTGAGAAGTAAACGAAAGAAAAGAAGTACGAATGATAGGTTCTGTTGGCGTTGTCATAAAGAATCTGTAGAGGCTCATTGTAGCGCATGTCCCCGATCATGGCATCGCAAATGCATAGGAATGCAATCAACATCTATCCAAAATTGGATATGCGGAGAATGCGCAGCTATTTTGCGAGCAGAAAATGCAGAAACACGTTCCACAGCAATGGCACAATTATCTGTTGATCAGTTGTGCTTATTATTAAAACATGTAGTCGAGAGGATGAGAGAGTATCCTGGTGTGCGTATCAATCTGTTATTTTTTTGCATGTGTTACCCTAGGATAATAATAAGAATGGAATTGTAATTCACCATCTTTGTCACAGTCGGAACCATTTTGGAAACCAGTTGAACTTTCAGAAGCTCCGAATTATATGGATTACGTGGTGAAACCAATGGATTTAAGCCTTTTAGAATCCAACGTGCGTGCGAAACTATACGGCAGTACAGACGCATTCATGGCCGATGCTAAATGGATACAACATAATTGTATTGTATTCAACACATGTATGTAAATTGTAAATTAAGTGAAAGTAATAGATTATTTGAAGACTTGATTTTAAATGCGATAATTGTTTAGGTGGTGGTGTATACACCGACACATCGAAATTAACAAATGCTGCAAAACAGATAATTAAATTGGCGCGTCAAGAAGTATCAGAAATCGAAGCTTGCCCGGATTGTTATGCTCATGGAAGAAATTTACCAAGACCACAACCGTCGTGGTTTATTGAACCTTGCCGCCGTCCACATCCACTGGTATGGGCGAAATTAAAAGGTTTTCCATTTTGGCCAGCAAAGGCAATGCCTCGTATAAATTCTCAAGGTTTTGTGGATGTACGTTTTTTCGGAGAACATGATCGTGCTTGGGTACCACCGCGAGATTTATATTTATATTCCGAGGACCCACCTGTCCCGTTGCCACGTAAAAGGAAATTAGACATGGAAGAATGTGTTCGAGAAATCACGCGACATTGTCGGAAACTTGAGCTCGTGTTTGGTCAGTTTAAGTTTGCACCTCCCAAAGTACAATATAATCCACACGACCCACTGCAGATTAAATTAATGTTACCAAATTACGATCCCCTTCGCTCGAATAATTGTACATTATCGGAATTTTCAACTCCTAAAAAAAAAACATTTCTAAAGAAGCGACTACATGGAAAAACAAAGTCGCAAAGTGATTCGGAGAAAACCGACAATTCTGACACTGAAAATAAAATATCGATAGATTGTAACACGAGTTCCGAATATAAGAAAGACGAAGATAAACTGCTGAAAGTACAAAACCTCGACCAGTCAAATGAAGTTAAATTGACCTCTGTTACAAGCAATGGTTCCAATACTTGTATAAACTCAAGCGAATCTGTGATGAAGGAAGAGAATACGAGCATCGGTAAAAATACATTAACGAATTCGAAAATGATAAACGAAGATAACTCGAAACCTAGTACAAGTAAAACTGCATATGACATAAACGACGGAAATGAGAAGAACGCTTCGAAAAATATTGATTCGAGCGAATCGAACATCGCTATAACGGAACAGAATAACAATACTGGAAAATTAGCGAACGATATCACAAAATCAACAGAAGATTTGCTGAATGAAGGAGTGACGGATTTTGGTAAATACTCAACAGATGAGCTTCAATTGCTTAAGAAGGAATTCTCCCCGTTGAAAGGTCACATTAATAAAGGCGAAGCAAATCAAAGTTATTCAAATTGTTCGCAGAAGAATAATTTGAAAGGGTCGAAAGCTATAGGAAAAGTTTACAAGCCAAAAACCAGAATGGTCGATAAAGTGAATGCCGAGAAGGCTTTAAAATCTTCTGTTAGCGAGGAAAATCAAAGTTTGGTCAAGCAAGCAGACATAATGTCGTCGAAAGGTTCCTTAAAGCATACCGACAGCGATGTTTCAACGTCAGTTACCAACAAAGCTCAAGTTAAAGACGCCGCCGAGAATACACAGATATCTAATCATGGTTTTGCCGATCAATCGGCATTGCTTTTTGCTGTGAACAACGGTACACTCGATTCTGGCACTAAAGTCAGATCCACTGGTAGTTTATCAGTGGTTGAGAAAGAGAAAACCGACGATATTTCGCCGATTCAGCAAAAACAATCGGATGCATCACAAATCTCGCATCAAAAGAAAGAGAGCAAAGCCCGTAAATCACTTCCTAATAAGACTCGTGCTTGTCCGCAACTTATACCTCACTCGTCAACGAGTTTATTGTCGAATTCAATCGATTCTATGGTTTATATTCCAGCTCAGCAGACAGAAAATTGTCAAATCGAATATCAAATGCTTCCTCCAGAAGCAGGACCTATAAGCGCTCGTTTGTACCATGGTGCACAAGATTTGGCTAGAAAAATGGCTCAATTAATGGAGGAGGCATACAAAGAAGCGGCTCGAGGAAATCAAAATTGTGAAAATGCAACGTCTGAGAATCACCAAGCAACAGTTCATTTTTTACGATTACAAATAGAACGTATGAGATGGCAACATCAACAACAACTAACTGAATTGAAACACAATACCGGTATGTCATCTGTATCCTTCTTTATGCTATTTTATTTGTTACATTTATAAAGAGTTGCAAGTTTTCTGTTATAGATCGGGTATTAAGGGAAATGAAAGCAAGTTTGGAAGCCGAAAGATTACGTGCTATCGAAGAAACTCGTAGAGAAGCTGAAGAAGAAAGACTGCGATGTATTGAAGAAATTAAACGTAAACAATGGTGTGCAATGTGTGGTCGTGAAGCATTGTTTTACTGTTGCTGGAATACGGCTTATTGCGACTATCCTTGTCAACAGTCACATTGGCCGACTCATATGAGAACATGCGCCCAAAAACCTTCGTTTACTACTATCGTTACTAGTTCTGCTGCAAATTCGAATCAGCAGCAGGTGATGCCACGACTTATGATAAATACTCAACATGTGACGTCAAATATATGGAGGGCCTAGAGTGCATCCGTGTAAGTCCTTAAAACCGAAGTCACAATTTTCAAGTATAAATTTTTATTTCAGACTTTTTCGTAATACCCTAACACCTTGATACTATTATTCCATCTCCATCGCCTTCGCATTTTGTGTTTACATGTAAGTATTATAGTTACAATGTTACACAAAATAGTACTTTGTACAACAGTTTTTGTAATGTAAAAATGCAATCGACAAAAATAATAAAGAATATTTATTCATGGAGTCTATATATATATATATTTACATATGTATATATATAGTATTACATACATATATATATATATATAGTATTTCCAACATTTCGCTACCATTGCAACTGGCATCACCAGGGGTCTGTGGATTCACTACTAATACTGATGACTCAGCGAAACGTTGGGAAATCTTTCCTAATGGACACGGTTTACACCCGGAAACTTTGAACACGCATCACAGTATATCTGGTCGTGAAAGCCTCAAACAAATCATATGATATCTGTGTTACAAAGAGACATTGACTGTCATACTGTATGTGGTTTGTTTTAATGTACTTACAGCACCGTTCATAAATATTTGATGATTAACGTATGGAAATATTAGGTTGCGTTATGCTTTAAAAATTTTACTAATGAATAGATGAAAATTATTTATTGTTTCATTCATTTGCATATCTACTCAATAATGTAACAATAAGTTTCTTTAATATTTCTTTCTGAATTTACTCTAATTCGCAGTAAGCAGACAATGCACGAGATCACCTGAAATCATTATATTCAAGTATTTTCATCCAATTAATTTTTATTGAATCTTGATTCTGTTATTGCCTTTTTACTCATCGTGATAAGTGTTACGTATTATTTGTATCATTATTACTTTTATATTAGGCGAGTATCGTGATAAAAGTTATTACATTGGATAGTTTACTTCAAATATGTTTACATATGTATTTCGAATAAAATGACGGTAGTCAAATATTTATGGTCTATAGTATATTTGTTTCGTTCTCGCTTTGGGATCGTGCCAGACATAAGTAGTTTTTAATATTCGAACCTCCATGTTATTCCACAACATAAAGTAGATCCATTATATAAAAGAATTTTTTCTTACACATATCATTTGACGTGTACACATGCACGCTACACGTAAATAATTAATTGTAATTTATAAACCAGCACAACTTACAATGTATTAAATAGAGTAAATTTTTAATAGATGTTAGTTTTCATTAGTTTCTGACACGCAGTGAATGAACAATACTGTAAATTTACTTTGAATTTAATTACCCATATAAAAATTCCAAAGTATGTATATATCAGTCTAACTGTTAGATGTTAATTTTATACTTTATAAAGTAGTACTTTAGTTTTATATAGATCGCTTTATTTTTTTGTCACAGTTACATTTTTATTTAGCTTTTTTGCTTTTAATTTTTCTCATGTAAAATTCAAGTTCTTTTCCTTCGAGGATGTAACCATCAGCACGACCGCATTGTCCAGGCCTACTTGCAATACAAGCTGAAAAATCAAATTTTCGTTGTAAGTACTATAATAAAAGATGAGTATAATTAAACGTGTACTGTACAATAAGAAGATATTAAATTGAAAATAGGAACACGGGAAATTATTAGAACATAGTCAGTAACAGACCAGAAAAATAATATATGGCAGATTCTGTAAATTCTTATAAATATCTTACAGTCATTACAGTACAACAGTACTATTACAGTGAATATAAAACATAGCCTACCAAGAACACGTCCTGTTGCAAATTGTTCTTCCAGGGCGGGTTCTACTTTGGCAAATCGCTGTCTCGATTTGTATTTAGCTTCGGATTTCTTTGAACGTTTTTTATTTAGAACTTCTTCTTCTGCTTCAGTCTGTATGCATTCATTTCTTTTTATTAAAATATTTTATTTGTAAAGACACCAAAAAAGAAATACCAATTACATACCAATTTTGCCCCTCTTTTTCGGCCAAGTGGCAACACATAATGGCTTTCGTACCATTGTCTAAATGGTGTTGCATCAATTGTGACAATTGCATTCTTCACTAAGGTCTTTGTTCTTACCAACTCATTGTTTGATGCATTATAAACAACATCAATGATACGTGTCTTTCTTGTGGTACATTCAGAACCCCATGAGAAATTTCCTGTGTCCAATCGAAGTGCT